TCATCCTGGGCAGCCTGCTCATTTTGGGAAAGGCGGCCGACTGGGTGATCTCTGCAGCCGTCAGCCTGTCGCAACGCTCCAACATTCCCGAGGTGGTGGTCGGCGGCACCATTGTGAGCCTGGGGACGACCACGCCGGAGGTGGCCGTCTCGGTTCCCTCGGGCGCGGCGACTCCATCAGGACGCAGCGCGCGGAGTATGGGGTTGCACCCTCAGCCACCTTGTGGCCGACTTCCTCGCCGAGGGGAGCCGGGCCCATCCCTCCTGACCCCAGGGGCAGAGTTTACTCAACGGATTTACCTTACACCCATGCCCCAGACCCATGGAGCTTGGTGCTAGGAATATGCTCCTCATGATTAGCGCCAGGGAACGGGCTCCGTCATGGATATTACCCTCGCTGAGAGTTCCCACCTCGGTAAGGACCCTCCAGGTTTTTGGAGGGGAGGTCGGCAAACATTATGTGGATAGGCCGTTTTCCTTAGCGCGGCTCACCGCTAGTGATCGGGCGCGGTTGCCGACATCCGAGGCCAATCGGGTCTGGCTTTGGGAAACGCAGTCGGCTCCATCATCTGCAACACCGGTCTGATTCTGGGACTGGCCTGTATCCTGGATCCGCCCAGGATCAACCGGAAGATCGTCATGAGGCAGAACGCCATCCAGTTGGCCGCGGTCATTCTGCTGGTTCTGGCCTGTATCGGCCGCGGACGGAGATGCGCACCGGCGGCGGTAGACGAAAAAGATGAGCGACCCGAGGGGTGTGCGTGTAGCTGTTTTGTAGCCCGAATTTCTACTGGAACCCACCCTCACCCCTTCTGCCGGTTTGATTGTCGGCAATCGATCGATGGGACCGCGGAAGAAACCCGGCGTCGGGAGAGGAGAGCAAAACGGACTCGAGCAGGGTGATTGCCGCCCAGTTGGTGGGAGCCATTGCCCTGGTGGTCGTCTCTGCCCGCATTCTCCTCCCGGCCGTCACCGAATCCGCCGTCCGACTGCAGGTTCCGGAAAGCGTGATCGCGGCAACTCTGGTGGCTTTCGGCACTTCCCTGCCAGAGCTGGTCGTCGCCGTCACAGCGGCTCTGCGGAGTCACGGGGAGTTGGCGGTGGGCAACGTGATCGGCGCCAATATCCTCAACGTCCTGTTCGTGGTCGGCGCTTCGGGGGCGGTCACGCGCGGAGGACTGATCGCCGATCCCCACTTCTTTACCCTCCTTTTCCCGACCATGCTGCTGCTGATGCTGACCTTGAGATCGGCCTCCTCCCGGGCAGAGAGCGCCTGGGCGCTCTCATGGAGCGGTCCTTCTGGCGATTTACCTTGTGTTTACGGTGGTCAGCTATGTTCTGGAGGCTGGAGGTTAGCAACACCCCTACCCTGCCGTGCGGATCATACAGGGTGAAACAGAGGCGCGTCAGACAAGCCGGCCCCAAGCCCTGCGGTGCGTATCATTCGCTTGAAATCGGCCGATCTTTAACAAAAGACGAACCACGAATGGACACGAATAGACACGAATACGGATGGAGTTCCTTCAATGACGAGCGGCGCCCGAATGCTTCTGCAATATTGTGACGTTGGTGTCACGACGGCATGGGAGAAAGCCCCCCGGGAGCGCGGGCGTCCCGCCCGCACAAATCTTGGTATAGCCTCACCCATCTCCTCGACCCGGATCGAACGGCAACGGCGCCATGGCTCTGCTTCGGCCGGGCCCATGCGATTCCCGCTGGCAGGAGGGGCGGGTGCCGCATCGCAGGGAAACTGAGCGGCAACCCAAGGGGATAGCATGCGGGCGAGACGCCCGCGCTCCCGGGGGGTGTCGTCTCGATGGTGCGCTGGAGGGTATCCGGCGGGCGACTTCTCTGAAAGCCGACGGGCGCCCTTTGGGAAACTCCCGTTTGTCCGCGAGCCCTGCCCCCGCCGTACCGTACGGATCAAACCAGAGTGTGACAATCAGAAATCGACCATCCCGTCGCGACCTTGGCATCCCGTCGCGGTTAACCTCAACGCCTTCGTGGTCCTTCGTGTAACTTCGTGGATAACTCTTTTTGCCTTTTTGGATAACCCTCAATTGTTTCAGGTTAGGCAGGGCGTCAGGCAGGGTGGGCTAGCGCTTGGCAATTTCCCTTTCCTCACAGGTGATGAACTCCAGCAGGGCCGGCTGTCCCTCCCGGGTTGCGGCTATTCCCCGTTGCAAGGCGGCCTGTACCGCCTCCGGACGGTCGACCCGCTCGGCGTAGGCCCCCAGCCCCCGAGCCACCTGGCTGTAGTTCCCGGACAGGAATTTGACGCGACCCTCAATGGCAGCCTTTGGGGATGTACTGCTCGTAGCCGCCCATGGCAGAATTGTTCACCAGAAGAATCAGGATGGGGATGTGTTCCCGCACCGCGGTCTCCAGATCCATGCCGACCATCCCAAAGGCCGCATCTCCCATGAAGGTCACCACCAGCTTGTCCGGAGCCGCCAGCTTGGCCCCCATGGCGGCGCCCAGGGAAAATCCCAATTGGGTCGAATTTCCCCACCCCAGGTAGCCGCGCGGAGTGACCGCCTCATAAAACGGAGCGATCTGATCTCGGGGGGAGCCGGAATCGTGGGTGACAATGGCTGAGGCCGGGTCCACCGCTTTCATCAGCTCCCCGATGACTCGATAGGGGTTGATGGGAACCTGGGAGGATTGGAGCTTGCCCGCCCAGCGGGCCTGCCAGGCCTTCCGAAGGTTGGCTATGCCGGCCTGGACCGATTGGCGCCGAGCCTCCCTTTCCCCATTCCCCGACTGGCGGCCGATCTCCTCCAGCATCTGCCGCAGGACCAGTTTGGCGTCTCCCAGGATGGGCACGTCGGCCGATAGCCTTTGTTCAGATCCTTCCAGTCCAGGGTGGCGTGAATCAGCACCCTTCCGTCGCTGGGAATGGTGGGGGCGAACAGGGAACGGGTCAGGCTGGCCCCGATGACAAACAGGGCATCGCTGGCCGCCAGGTGCTCGCCCACCATGGCGGTTTGGCTGTATCCGGTCGTCCCCAGGGCCAGGGGGTGCGTCTCGTTGAAGGCGCTCTTGCCCTGGAGCGAGGTCATCACCGGCGCCGCCACCTGCTCCGCCACCTGCTCCAGCTCACTGGAAGCCTTGGCGTAGAAAACCCCCTGCCCTGCCCAGATGAGCGGCCGCTTGGCGGCCAGCAGCAACCGAACCGCCTCCCTGACAGCCGCGGGGTCTCCAGCGGTCCCTATTTTCGGCACCGGCTGGTACTCCAGGGGCCCCGGAAACTCCTCCTCGGCCACGTCCACCGGAATCTCCAGAAGGACCGGGCCGGGCCGCCCCGAACGCAAGGCGGTAAAAGCCCGCGCCATCCGGCCAGGGATGGCGGCCGCCGCCGGGATCCGGTCGGCCCACTTGGTGGTGGCCCGGTAGTTCTCCAGTGCTCCGAAGGTGGGTGGGACGCCAACCTGGTTTCGCCCGGGATGACCCGGAAGGAAGAGGATGGGGCTCGAATCGGTATAGGCGTGGGCGATGCCGGCGAAGGCGTTCTCGGCTCCCGGACCCTGCTGCACCGTCACCACCCCGATTCGGTCCCCGCAAGTGGTTCGCGAGAAGCCGTCCGCCATGTTGCCCGCTACCCGTTCCTGACGGGCCACGATCAGCCGGATGCCGGCCTCGGTCAAGGCGTCGAGGATCGGAGTCAGTGGAAAGCAGAACACCTGCTCCACTCCTTCCCGTTTTCAAGAGTTGGGCGATCACCTGGCTGCCCAGCATTTTGTCTCCTTTCCGCGACCGAATCCCGCCCAGCCGGTTCGCACGGCACTCCCGGCTAATCTGGAACCCGGTGAGGAATCCCATCTAGGAGTCTGCGCCGCAGAGGGCTATCGAGGCTTCAAGATGGCCTATGATCCCTATAAATGGTTCAGTATCTGCTGTAAAGAGACTCCTATGCCCTATTACTTGCAGAATATCGTCCTTTTTATGAAAGGCTGTCCCTGAAAAATTTTCTGCCGCGCAGGATCCTAGGCGTCTCTCACAAACAGGGTCCTCAAATCATAGGACACATTGAGCGGATAGCGCACCCGCATCCCGATGGCGTAGTAGAAACACCAGGCATGGTCGGCCCCGGCCCGGGTGCCGCTCCACACCCAGGCTCCGGTCAATTCAAAGGGCTTTCGAATGGTGCGGCGGGGCGGGTCCCACAGCCCATGGAGCTCCTCGAGAGTCGGCAAGCGCCAATCGTGAAAGCCGCCCAAATCCAGATTCTGCGCGCAGCCGGCGGCATCATGCCAGTTGAGGCGTCGTCCATTGTCTCGGCGGCTCCAGACCAGGCCGGTCCGGCTGTCGACGACCACATCGGTTGAAGCCTCTGAGGATTGCATGGCCTGCCGCGCCCGATGCAGAGTGTCCGCTAAAATGCTAAAGGTTGACTGAGACCTGAACCCGATTCTGTTCCACCCCAATGCCTCAACTTTCGCCAAAGCATCGCTTTCAGAAATTGCCGGAACGCCGGAATCAGGCACAAGAAGCCCAGGATGTCGGTCAGGACTCCCGGAGTCAGCAGAACGGCGCCCGCCAGCAGGATGATCACCCCGTCAACCAGCGGGTCCGCCGGGAGTCGTCCAGCTGCCGTTTCCACCCGCAACTGTCGCAGAACCTCCAGCCCCTGGCTGCGTGCGAGAAAGGCGCCCAAGGCCCCGGTGGCGAGGATCAGCGCCACGGTGGCCAGTGTGCCGATGTGGCTGCCGATCTCGATCAGCAGGGCCAACTCTATCAAGGGAAGGAGGAGGAAGAGGGAGAGAATTTTGAACATGAAACCATTATGGCACAAGCTGAGGGGCTGGGCTCCAACTCCCCGGGTCGGAGGATGCAGTTCCACAAAATGAGATAGGGGGGGGCAAGGGACTGCCTTGGAGGAAACTACGGCCCCCGTCGCACCCCTGGCGCAACGGGGACTCAGCCGGTCAGCGACCTGCAGAAAGGAAACGGGGCAAGGCCGAATCGCCTACCCCGGAAGATTGCCGTCGGGTGCAACCCTTAAGGGGCCAGGTGCTTCACCGACTTGATGGTCAGGGTTCCGTCCATCACCTTGCCGGTGACCTCCACCTTGTGGCCGAGATGGGCCATCACCTTGTCGGCATTGGCGATCTGGAGGACTTTCTTGTCTCCCGTGACGAACACGGGCTTCTCACCGCCATTCACACACCCCGTGACGCAACCGATCGACTTGGCGGAATGGTCGACGTGGGCAGCGCCGCACTTGGCATCCGAGATGTGTCCCGTCAAGGCCTCACCCGCCATGAGATGGCCGCCTGTCAGCGCAACCGCCAGCAAGAAAATCAGCACTGCGTTTCTCATTGTTCCTCCCGCTTCCCAAGAATTGTCATGGTTTCTGTGACTTCACGAGCAAGGTTACTCCAACCATCGTTACCCTGTCAACCGATGAGCACCATGACGAGTGATCCCCCTGATTTCGGGGAAGGACCGAATGGGCAAAACGGAAAAATGAGTCCCGATCCGGAAATACGATTCAGAGGTTTGGCAGGATGGACTGCGACGACCCGCCTCCCTCAAAAAAACCGGGGAGATCCCGTGATTCCCACGGTTCCGCTCCCGGCAGGCTCACCCGACAATCACCTTCACGAAGCCGCGCTTCCCCACCTTCAGGACAGAGGAGGAGGGTCGGGAACAATCCATCTCCGCCTTGACGTCGGTGACCTTCTGATGGTTCAGGGATACCGCATCCTGGGTGATCAAACGAACGGCCTGGCCCACCGAGGGGGCCAGCCCCACCCGTACCATCACTTTCGAAAGCCGTAGCCGCTCCGTAGAAACCGGCAGCCTTTTCTCCTCCATCCGATCGGGGACCAGCCTCTGAGAATGGATGCGATGGAACTCTTCCTCGGCCCGGTCGGCGGCCTGGCGCGAATGAAACTCCCGCACGATGCTTTTGGCCAGGTCCACCTTGGCAGCCTTGGGATGCAGGCTGCCTTCTGCCACCTGTTTTCGGATTCGGTCGATCTCGTACGAGCTCAGGTCGGTACAGAGCTCGTAGTAGCGATACATGAGGGCATCCGAAATCGACATGACCTTCCCGAAGATCTCCGAAGCCGGTTCCTGGATCCCAATGGCGTTTCCCAAGGACTTGGACATCTTCTGCACCCCGTCCAATCCCTCCAGCAGCGGCAGCATCAGCAGCACTTGGGGTTCCTGTCCATATTCCCTCTGCAGTTCCCGCCCCACCAGCAGATTGAATTTTTGATCGGTGCCGCCCATTTCCACGTCGGCCTGCAACACCACCGAATCGTACCCTTGAACCAGGGGATAAATGAGCTCGTGAATGGCGACAGGCTGTGACTTCTTCAAGCGCTTGCTGAAGTCGTCTCTCTCCAGCATGCGGGCCACGGTGTAGCGGGAGGCCAACTTGAGAAACTGCTCGCTGCTGAAGAGCGTCATCCAACGGCTGTTGAAGTCGATGATGGTGTTTTCCGGATCCAGGATCTTGAACACTTGCTGCTTGTAGGTCTCGGCATTCTCCGCCACCTCCTCCCGGCTCAAAGGCTTGCGGGTGGCGCTACGCCCGGAGGGGTCCCCGATCAAACCGGTGAAGTCGCCGATCAGGAAGATGACCGTGTGGCCCAGGTCCTGAAAACGCCTCATGCTGCGCAGCATCACCGTATGGCCCAGATGCAGGTCCGGCGCCGTCGGATCGAAACCGGCCTTGATCCGCAATGGCCTTCCGGTTTCAGCCGAGCCAACCAGCCGGGCTCGAAGCTCCTCCGGTCGAATCAGCTCGGCGACTCCCTGTTGCAGGAAGGTCAGTTGTTCCTCAACAGTCACGGTTAAGCCATTCCCCTCTACTTACACGAAACAACTCTGGGGTCGGGTGAAGAAAAATCGGTTAAAGGGTTACCCACATAAGGATACGAAGTGACACCCAACGATTCCGACGTCTGGTCTCGGTGTCGAACACTGGTAGATTTTTGATTAACATCGATGCACAGGATTAACAGGATTATTCGTGTTCATTTGTGTCCATTTGTGGTTCGTCTTCATTAACGATCGTCCGTTATTTCTCGAATGATCCGCACGGTAGCGCGGGGGCCGGCTAAGCAGTAGCCAGGGCTCTGCGATCCGGCAGTCAGGACCCGCGGACCACCCGTCGGCCTTCCAGGCGCACTTCATCCCGACCACCATGCCGATCGCCCGGGGATAGAGCCGATGCTCTTCCACCAGGATCCTCTGGGCCAGGGACTCTTCGTCATCGGACTCCAGTACCGGCACCACGGCCTGCAGCAGAATGGGACCCGAATCCACCCCTTCATCCACGAAGTGGACGGTGCAGCCCGAGAAGCGGACCCCGGACTCCAGCGCCTGACGCTGGGGATGCAGTCCGGGAAAGACCGGCAGCAGGGAGGGATGGATGTTCAGGATTCGGTTGGGAAAGGACCGGACGAAGAAGGGACTGAGGATCCGCATGAACCCGGCCAGGCAAACCAGCTCCACCCGGTGCCGCTTACAACTCCTCGACCAGGCGCCGGTCATAGTCCTCCCGAGCCACACCCCTGCGGAGGGGATGACGACCGTTTTCAAACCCCGCCGCCGTGCTTTTTCCAGTCCGGCGGCCGAGGCCAGGTTGCTGACCACCAACTCGACGCGGGCCGGCAAACGGCCCTCCTGGACACTGTCGGCGATGGCCTCGAAGTTGGAGCCGCGCCCGGACAGCAAGATCGCAAGACGTTTCACCTGACGCCCACCCATCCGGAAGGCCCGGCTACCGGCAACCAACAACGCGACCCGCCGCTGCCTTTACCGGCTGTAGCAAACCCGACGTTTCCCCGAACGGATGTTACCGATCCGGTATACCGGCTCCCGGCTCCGGGCAAGATGTTCTTCCACCTTGGCCACTTCCGCGGGCGGAACGATCAGCGCCATGCCGATACCCATATTGAAGGTACGCAGCATCTCGGCCTCATCGATCTGCCCCAGCTTCTGAAGCACGCCGAAAATGGGTGGCTCGGGCCAGGATTCCAGTTGAATGTGAGCCGAGCAGCCGCCGGGGAGAATGCGCGGGAGATTGTCAGTCAATCCCCCCCCGGTGATGTGGGCCAGCCCGCTGAGACATCCCCGATCCAGCAGCGGTTTCAGCAGGGACAGATAGCTTCGATGGGGCTGCAGCAGTACTTCTCCCAAGGGAAGCGTCAACGGGGAAAGCCGGGTACTCACCTCATAGCCGCCCACCTCGAACAACAACTTCCGTGCCAGGGAGTAACCGTTGGTGTGCAACCCCGTCGATGCCAGTCCCAGGATGGCATCTCCCGGCCGGATGCGTTGTCCGTCCAGCAGGTGCGACTGATCGACCAGTCCCACGATGAAACCGGCCAGATCGTACTCCCCGCTGGAGTAGAACCCCGGCATCTGGGCCGTTTCCCCGCCCAGCAGGGCACATCCCGCCTCCCGGCAACCGGCGGCTATCCCCTCCACCACCTTGGCGATGATCTCCGGTTCCATCCGATCGGTTGCGATGTAGTCCATGAAGAAGAGGGGCGCGGCTCCCTGAACCAGGATGTCGTTGACACAGTGAGCCACCAGATCCCTGCCCACGGTGTGATGGATCCCGGTGGCAAAGGCAATCTTGAGCTTGGTCCCGACACCATCCACACTGGACACCAGGATGGGCCGGGTCGAACGCCCTCTTTCCAGGCGGAAGAGTCCGCCGAAGGCGCCGATCTCGCTGACCACCTCAGGCGTAAAGGTCTGGCGGGCCAGCGCCTTGATGCGTTTCTTGGCGGCATCGGCCCGGTCGATATCCACACCGGCGTCCCGGTAGGCAAAGACGGTCTTGGCAGTCATGGGCTAGAAAAAGCTTCGCTCCCGCGGACAAGGGGCGGCGCCCACCGTTGGGGGCCCTGCCGCCAGGACCGGCTCAGGCAGTCTCGACCGCAGGCATCTGAGGAAAAGGCACCGGATAGTTGCCAGTATAGCAAGCCGAGCAGAAGTGGCCTTGGCCCTCTTCCACACCACAAGCGCGGAGCATGCCTTCGTGGCTTAAATATCCCAAGGTATCCGCCTGGATGTATTTGCGAATTTCGTCCACCGAATGGCTGGACGCAATCAACTCTTTCTTGGTAGGCGTGTCCACCCCGTAAAAGCAGGGGGAGATCGTCGGTGGGCAACTGATCCGCACATGGACTTCCTGGGCGCCGGCATCCCGGACCATCTTGACTATCTTGCGGCTGGTCGTGCCCCTCACGAGGGAGTCGTCACCAGAACGACTCGCTTCCCCCGGATCAACGCCGCCACCGGATTCAACTTGATCTTGACCCCGAAATGGCGAATGGACTGCTTGGGCTCGATAAAGGTCCTGCCGACATAGTGGTTGCGGATAAGTCCGAATTCGAACTGGATCCCCGATTCATGGGAGAAGCCGATGGCCGCAGCCACTCCGGAATCCGGCACTGGTACGACGATGTCGGCCTCCACCGGCTGCTCCTGCGCCAGGCATCGCCCCAGGAGCTGACGGCTTTCGTAAACGGACCGGCCAAAGATCTGGCTGTCGGGCCTGGAAAAGTAGACGTGCTCGAAGACGCAAAAGGAAGGAGGCCGCGGCGGCGAGATCTGGCGAGACCGGATCCCGCCCTTGAAAAGCGTCAGCATCTCCCCGGGGGCGACTTCCCGGTCATACCGGGCCTCGATGAGGTCAAAGGCACAGGTCTCCGACGCCAGCACCGGAGAGCCGTCCAGCCAGCCCAGGTTGAGGGGACGGAATCCCCGCGGATCCCGAACGGCAATGACTTTTTCGTGGGTCAGGAAAATCAGCGAGTAGGCCCCTGTCAATTGCGACAGCGCTTCCTGGATGGCGTCCTCGATGGTTCCCTGGCGGGATCGGGCAATGAGGTGAAGAATGACCTCGCTATCGCTGGTGGACTGAAAGATCGAGCCGGACTTCTCGAGCTGGCCCCTCACCTGCAAGGCATTGATAAGGTTCCCATTATGACAGAGCGCCAACTCCCCCTGGCTGCAGGAAACCACCAGGGGCTGGGCGTTTTTCGCCGCGCTCTCACCCGCCGTCGAGTAGCGGGTATGGCCAATGGCCGTCTCCCCCTTCAGATTCTCCAGGCGAGACTGGGTAAAGATGTCGGCCACATGGCCCATCCCCGTCTCGCTGTGGAGGTCGTTGGCATCGGTCGAGACGATTCCCGCGCTCTCCTGGCCCCGATGCTGAAGGGCGTACAGGCCCAGATAGGCGATCCGGGACGCCTCACGATGTCCAAAAACCCCAAAGACTCCGCACTCTTCCCGAAACTTGTCAAGCATTGGTTCCCCAGGGACACCTCATTTTGTCCGGACCGCAGCCTGTGCCATTGGTGGGACTGATCACACGGATGACGGGCGGCGCTACCGGAAAATTATAATGGATCGGCGAACAAACCTCCCAGACAATTCCTCCAGGTCTCCTCCAGGGAGACCATCGATTTCTCGATGACGGTGGAATCTGTGCTACGCAGGCTCAACACTTCCGGAACCACCTGTCCCAGAAAAGTCACCGGCACGCCCTGGAGCGCCGCAATCCTCTCAAGGGCTGCCAGGTTTTCCGTCTCAACAGTGACCAGAATCCGGGAGGGATATTCTGCGAACAACACCTCTCCCACCTCTTCGGCCGCGGGCAACCGGATCTCAGCCCCCAGAGTCCTGCCGCCAAAGCGGGAAAAGCCCATCTCCGCCAGGGCCACTGCCAATCCCCCCTCCGAACAGTCGTGAGCGGAGAGAATCAAGCCGTTCTCGATGCCCTCCCGGCAGGTCCTCTGAACGCGAACCTCCAGGTCCAGGTCCAGGGGCGGACAGGGAAGCGCACGGACCCACCGGGTATAGACATCTCCGCCCGTTTCCTGCAAGCGCCGCAGCTTCGCCAGGTTGCGGCGCACAGCGCTCGAATAGCTCGTCGGCTGGCCAACCAGCGGACCCAGCAAGACGATCCGATGGCCCTCCTGGAGAAACCAGGAGCCCCGAAGGCGAGAAAGCGGCTCGATCAACCCCACCATTCCAATGACGGGAGTGGGGTCGATACCCTCCCCCAGCGTCTCGTTGTACAAGCTGACGTTTCCGCCGGTGATGGGAGTTTCCAGGGCGCGGCAGGCTTCGGCGATCCCTTCAACCACCTGGGTCACTTGCCACATGATTTCGGGCTTTTCCGGATTGCCCAGATTCAGGCAGTTGGTGGCCGCCAGGGGACGGGCTCCGGCACAGACGAGGTTGCGGCAGCTCTCGGCCACCGACAACTGGGCTCCCACCCGAGGGTCCTGACGGCAGTAACGGCCGTTGCCATCCAGGCTCATGGCCAGGGCCTTCCGGGTGTTCTTGACTCGAACCACCGCCGCGTCGGCGCCGGGAGCCTGAACCGTATTGGTCCGCACCATGTGGTCGTATTGGCGATAGACCCACTCCCGGGAGCTCAGGTTGGGAGAACCCAGAAAGCATTCCAGGACCTTGCCCCAATCCAGGGACAGGGACCCGGACGGCGGGGCCGGCTCCGGCGAGGGCGGCGCGGGGGCCGCCACCGGTCGCCGGTAAACGGGGGCCTCATCGGTCAAGGCTCGATTGGGTATTTCGGCCACTTTCTTTCCCCGGTCCAGGATGCGGAGCATCCCGTCCCGGGTGACCTTTCCAATCGTGACGGCGTCGATCTCCCACTTTCGGAAGATCCGGAGAATCTCCTCTTCCCTCCCCCGTTCCGCCACCAGAAGCATCCTCTCCTGGGATTCGCTCAGCATGATCTCATAGGGAGTCATGCCCTGCTCGCGCTGAGGCACCTTCGCCAGATCGATCTCAATCCCGGTGTCCGCCCGCCCCCCCATCTCACAGGTGGAACAGGTCAGTCCGGCGGCCCCCATGTCCTGGATACCCACCACGGCGCCCGTCTTCATCGACTCCAGGCAGGCTTCCAGCAACAGTTTCTCCAGAAAGGGATCGCCGACTTGCACATTGGGGCGCTTGCTCTCCGAGGCTTCATCGAACTCGGCCGAAGCCATGGTGGCCCCATGAATCCCGTCCCTACCGGTTTTGGAACCGACGTAGAGCACCGGATTCCCGATTCCCACGGCTTTCCCGTAAAAGATCCGATCCTTCCGGAACAGCCCCAGGGCAAAGGCATTGACCAGGGGGTTTTGGGAGTAACATTCCCCAAACACAACTTCCCCACCCACGGTAGGCACCCCGAAACAGTTGCCGTATCCGGCGATTCCGGCCACGACGCCCTCCATGATGCGCCGGTTTCGGGGCTGGTCGGGCGGCCCGAAGCGCAAGGAGTTCATGGCGGCAATGGGACGGGCGCCCATGGTAAAGATGTCGCGCAAAATCCCCCCGACGCCGGTGGCCGCTCCCTGGTAGGGTTCTACGAAGCTGGGGTGGTTGTGGGACTCTATCTTGAAGGCCACCGCGTAGCCGTCCCCGATATCGACGATCCCGGCGTTCTCGCCGGGTCCCTGCAGCACCTGGGGGCCCTGAGTCGGCAACCGCTTCAAATGGAGCTTGGAACTCTTGTAACTGCAGTGTTCGCTCCACATGACACTGAAGATCCCCAGTTCCGTCAGGTTGGGCGGACGGCCCAGGATCGACAGAATGCGGTCGTATTCGGCTTCGGTCAGGTTGTGCTGCTCCAGGACCTCAGGTGTCATCGGCGGATTGGCTTGCATGAATCATCGATTGAAAAAGCAGCATCCCGTCCTCGCTTCCCAGCAGCGGTTCGCTGGCTCTTTCCGGATGGGGCATCATTCCCAGCACGTTGCCACGGGGATTGCAGATCCCGGCCACATTGGCCACCGAGCCGTTGGGATTGGAGCCGGGGGCAATCTCACCGTCCGGGGTGCAGTAGCGAAATACCACCTGCCGATTTGTCTCCAAGGTGTGGAGAGATTCGGAGTCAAGGGTGTAGTTGCCCTCCATGTGCCCGATGGGGATGGTCCAGACATCGCCTTCCCTGGCCAGGCCGGTAAAGGGAGTCCGCGCGTTCTCCACCCGAATCGAGACCTGTTGACACACATACTTCAACCCCCGGTTTCTCAGCATGGCTCCCGGCAGCAGCCCCGACTCCAACAGAATCTGGAAGCCGTTGCAGATGCCCAGGACCAATCCGCCCCGGTCGGCGAAACGCCGAACCGCCCCCATCACCGGAGAGAAACGGGCAATGGCCCCGGTGCGCAGGTAATCTCCGTAGGAAAATCCCCCGGGAACGATGATGGCCTGGCAATCCTTGAGGTCGGTGGACTGATGCCAGATGAACTCAGCCGGCTGCTGCAGCACCTTGCGAACGGCGTGATAGGCATCGTGCTCACAATTGCTGCCCGGGAAAATCAGGACCCCGAATTTCATCTTCAACCATCCGCTGGAAACCGGTCGCAGCAAGGGTTGGCCGTGGAGGAGGGGACTTCCTTTTGCCACGACCGCCTCCCTCCATGCCGGACGGAACTACTCGATCTGGTAGCTGAATTCCTCAATGACCGGGTTGGTCAAAACGTCCTCGGCTATTTTTTCGACTTCAGCCCGAACTTCTTCCCGAGTCAGCTCGGAGGCAAAGTCGATTTCGAAAAATTTCCCCTGCCGCACCTCGGTAATCTTTCGAAAGCCGATATTCTGCAAACTGTGGTGGATGGTCTTGCCCTGGGGGTCCAGAACGCTTTTCTTGAGACTGACGTAAACTCTAGCCCGCATGGAGCTTTCCTGATCCTTTCCCGAAAACCGCTCATCCACCGAAAACACGTTCGAATACGGCATCCACGTGGCGCAACTGGTGCTCCAGACCGAAGCTGGTTTCGATCTCGGAGCGGGACAGATGTTGGAGAATCTCCTCGTCCTGAAGGACCAGGCTCTTGAAATCCACCCTCTCCGACCAGACGCGCATGGCGTTTCGCTGCACCCATCGATAGGCCTCCTCTCGGCTGACGCCCTTGCGGGTGAGGTCGAGGAGAAGCTGGCCGGAAAAGATCAGCCCCTTCGTCATATTCAGGTTCTCCACCATGCGCTCCGGGTAGACCAGCAGTTTTTCCAGCAGCCGCGTGGTCCGTGCCAACAGATAGTCGACCAGTATGGTTGAATCCGGCAGAATCACACGCTCCACCGAAGAGTGGGAAATGTCCCGCTCGTGCCACAGCGTGATGTTTTCCAGGCCGGCCAGCAGATTGGAGCGCACCACCCGGGCCAGGCCGGATATCTGTTCGGAGGTCACGGGATTCCTCTTGTGCGGCATCGCCGAAGAGCCCTTCTGCCCGGCTGAGAAGTACTCCTCGACCTCACGAACCTCGGTGCGCTGCAGCCCCCGGACTTCGGTGGCGATCTTCTCCAGGCTGGCCGCAATCAGAGCCAGAGCCGACAAGTATTCGGCATGCCGGTCGCGCTGCACGATCTGGGTCGAAACCGGATCGGGCTGCAGTCCCAGGCTCCGGCAAACGGCTTCCTCCACTGTGGGATCGAGGTGGGCAAAGGTCCCGACGGCTCCAGACAACTTGCCCACACGAACGCATTCGGCCGCGGCCCGGAGCCGCCTCTGATTGCGGCGGGCTTCTTCGTACCACACGGCCAGCTTGAGGCCCAGCGTGGTCGGTTCGGCATGAATGCCGTGAGTCCGGCCAACCATGACCGTTCTCTTGAACTCATGCGCACGCCTTTCCAGCACCTTCAGGAACCCGGCCAGTCCCTCGGTCAGTATCTCCGAAGCCTCCTTGAGCTGTAGAGCCAGGGCCGTATCCACCACGTCGGAGGAGGTCAGACCGTAGTGAACATATCGGGACTCCGGACCCACGTGCTCGGCCACCGAGGTGGTAAAGGCGACCACGTCATGTTTGACCTCGCGCTCAATTTCATCGATCCTGGACACGTCGAAGTCGGCCTTTTCCCGAATCACCCGAGCGGCTCGTGGGATCACACCCCGCTCAGCCAGGACGTCCACACAAGCCAACTCCACTTCCAACCACTTCCGGAACTTGTTTTCCGGAGACCAGATCTGCCCCATGCGGGGCCGGGTATAACGCTCAATCACGGTGGGAGATCCTCCTGAAAAGCGGCCATGGCCCCGGAGGCCCGGCAGACTGACCTGCAGGCATCCACCTGTACGCAGATACACCTACCCGCATTTCTCACAGGTCGCTGAATGCATAGTGAAAGCGGTTGA